ATTCATACCCCTAAAGAACCATACTCACTGTCTTTGACGATTCACTCAGTATAATATACGGGTTGCCTTTCAGACGGAAGTTCTTTCGCCGAGACAAAATAGGCCCTTGTAGTCCTACATCCGTGAAGCCAAATTTGCTGTCATCACACCACCTTAAGGTGGCTGTTAGTGTAAGAAACATGCAATTAATGTTGCTGGTAATAAGCTTGGCGTTGGCGAGATTTCAATGCCTGAGTGTCACGCTATCGGCAGAGGTGGTCTGCTGGATGCGGAAGGTAGCCACGGGTCAGGAATACACCACATCTTTATTAATATCCGGCTGACATAACGTATGCGTGAACAGGAGGAGGATATGATGGTTTGAGTTTGCAACGAAAGATAAAGTCAAGAGCCAATGTAATGACAATTTACAAGGATTGATTTTGTTTTCGACCTTGAATAGTAGTTGTTGTATTAGCTCATAAATATAAATATTTTGTACCTATAGAGTGTATAACATGTTCAGGTCCACCATGTCCCCAGGAGTACGACAAGGAATATAAAAATATATATATGTATTTATGTGTGTGTGTGTGTGTGTGTGTGTGTGTGTGTGTGTGTGTGTGTGTGTGTGTGTGTGTCTCTGTGTGTGTGTGTGTGTGTGTGTCTGTGTCTGTGTGTGTGTGTGTGAACGGTAAAAGAATGTCTATTTTACACATTGCTGGGATATCAATCAAAGCGGCGTGAACCCCAAGTTGGCCAAGTACGATTCCCAAGATGAGCGTGATATGGTATTGTTAAAAGCAGCGTAAAGTATACGAGCTCACAAAGTAATCTGTTTTTGCATGCCCTCAAATACCGTTTAACATTATCCCCAGTTAGTGGCCTTTAACGCTAAAACGGTTAATTCATATTTTATCAAGTGTCCACCATTATTCATGACAATTTAAGGTAAAAAACTTCAACTGAAGCACATCTTCTAACATAAAAAATGTTTTCTGTCCAAAGTTTAATTCATCAACTGCAACGTCCAAATCACACTCATTACCCACGAAGTCTGTGTCAGTGTGTAGCAAGGCGTTCGCAGCTTCTCTCACAACCAAGAATAGAAGATTTAATCAATCAGCATCTGAGTTCAACAACAGAATCCGCTGATGGTTTGCTGTAATGGTTTAAATACGGCACTTCCCGCCTAAAGAGCAATGAAAGTGAAAGTGACAAAGCAAAGCCTACGCAGTGTCAGTGTTCAATCTCTTAGTGTCACATCCCTCATTGTTCAACCTCTCAGTGGCACATGTCTCAGTGCCACATCTCTCAGTGTTCGATCTCTCAGTGTTCAATGTTTCAGTGTTCAATATCTCAGTGTTCAATATCACAGTGTCATATCTCTTAGTGTTCAATCTCTCAGTGTTCAATATCTCAGTGTCACATATATCAGTGTTCAATCTCTCAGTGTTCAATGTTTCAGTGTTCAATATCTCAGTGTTCAATATCATAGTGTCACATCTCTTAGTGTTCAATCTCTCAGTGTTCAATATCTCAGTGTCTCATCTCTCAGTGGTCAATCTCTCAGTGTCACATCTCTAATTCTTCAATCTCTCAGTCTAACATGTCTCAGTGCCACATCGCTCAGTGTCACATCTCTCGGTGTCTCATCTCTCCGTGTCTCACCTCTCAGTGCTCAATCTCTCAGTGTCACATCTCGCAGTGTCACATCTCTCAGTCCCACATCTCTCAGTGTCTCATCTCCGAGCGTTCAATCTCTTTGTGTCACATCTTTCAGTTGTCACATCTCTCAATGTTCAATCTCTCAGTGTCTCATCTCTCAGAGTATCATCTCTTAGTGTCACATCACTCAGTGTTCAATCTCTCAGTTGTCACATCTCTCGGTGTCTCATCTCTCAGTGCCACATCTCTCGGTGTCTCATCCCTCAGTGTCTCATCTCTCAGTGTATCAACTCTCAGTGTCTCATATCTCAGAGTATCATCTCTTAGTGTCACATCTCTCAGTGCCACATCTCTCAGTGTCTCATCTCCGAGCGTTCAATCTCTTTGTGTCACATCTTTCAGTTGTCACATCTCTCAATGTTCAATCTCTCAGTGTTCAAAATCTCAGTGTTCAATATTTCAGTTACACATCTCTCAATGTTCAATCTCTCAGTGCCACATGTCTTAGTGCCACATCTCTCAGCGTCACATCTCTCGGTGTCTCATCTCTCCGTGTCTCACCTCTCAGTGCCACATCGCTCGGTGTCTCGGTATCTGAAACGTCTGTGATAACAAGCTTATGTTTGATGTATTTTGAACCCTTTTCATATTACGAGTGTTGACACTTGCTGTCACTGATATTGAACGATACTCGAGCTGCACGTCAGATTTTGAAAATGTTTGACGTGTTTAAGCGTTTTTATGTCTGGACACCTGTTTCCAACTATTTTCTAATGACAGTACCATGTCGACAGGCCACGAGGCTGTTAGACTGTTCGATTACTTTGTATAGGTGTCATGTCCGTCGTGTTTGTAGAAGAAGAAGAAGAAGAAGAAGAAGAAGAGGAAGAAGGAGAAGAGGTTTATATATCTGCATGAAGGTCTCGGGTCCACATACCAGGACAAAATGAAAATATAACACAGACATCGTACAAATCTTGTAACATGTCAAACACAATTTGTATGTTCGGGGATAACAGAGGTACAACACTTCACGCAGAGGCAAGGGAGATGGTGGCGCGTCAACTTGTTGTAGCGAGTATTTAACATGGAATCGCAAATGCTGTGGTCAGAGGATAAGGGGCTCCGATTAGATTGTTTCACTTTGAAAACATGATTTCTGGAAAATATTATTTGTTTTAAAGGGATGTAGCCCAAGAGAGTTTGATTAATGTCGCTAAACCCAACACTTTGTTGAAGTCCAAATGGTTATGTATTCAATATCGATAGACTTGACAATTATTTTGTCTTATCAAGTTACTCATTACTTTCCAATACATTTGCATTTAAGGTATACCCTAGCTACTTGAAGAGACACATATGTGTCATTGAATCTTACAGACCCCAGATGGGTACAATGTGTGAAGCCCATTTCTCGTGTCCCCTGCCATGATATTGCTGGAATAGTGCTAAAAGCGGCGTAAAACCATGATCACTCACTCATTTACAGGCCCCAGATCACATATTCAATACAACAATCACCTACCTGGATTCCATTGTCACCCCCTTCTCAGCTCTAGATGCCAATTCTCATCCCCTTTCAACTTTTTGTAGTTGGAGGGTTGATAAATATTATTGTTTTTTATATAATCTTATATATACATGTAACAGTACTTCGGGGAGCATATGTTAGTCTGGTCTAGTTGTATCTTAGTGAAATAGTATCACAACATCGCAGTTATGTAGAGCAATACTATTGCAGCATACAGGTCCGTTAAGTCGCACTCATTTAATAGATAAATGTAAAACCCCATGTACAATATGTTGTTTTAGTCATTTTCAAAGTAACGAATCTTCCCGGTTACATGGTTATGCGTTCCCTGTCATATTGTTATACGTTCCCGGTTACATGGTTATGCGTTCCCTGTCATATTGTTATACGTTCCCTGTTCGATGGTTATGCGTTCACGGTTATATGGTTATACGTTCCCTGTTAAATGGTAATACCTTCAATGCCATATTGTTTTACGTTCCCTGTTCGATGGTTATGCGTTCCCGGTTATATGGTCATATGTTCACGGTCATATTGTTATACGTTCCCTGTTATATGGTTATACGTTCCCTGTTAAATGGTTATGCGTTCCCGGTTATATGGTTATACGTTCCCTGTTAAATGGTTATACGTTCAGTGCCATATTGTTTTACGTTCCCTGTTCGATGGTTATGCGTTCCCGGTTATATGGTGATACGTTCCCTGTTAAATCGTTATACGTTCACGGTCATATTGTTATACGTTCCCGGTTATATGGTTATACGTTCACGGTCATATTGTTATACGTTCCCGGTTATATGGTCATACGTTCCCTGTCATATCGTAATACGTTCCCTGTTATATAGTTATAAGCGGAATGACGCCAAGCTCAATGGAGATTATTGCCCGAGGTATTAGTCTGTCATTAGGAGCAGACATACATTTTATTCCTGGTATATAATATTTACGACACTGCAACACGAAGCTAACTACCTCTTTATCATAATGTCAGTCACTGAATCAATGTCTTAGGCGTTCAATCACTGACATATCTTTAGAAGCCGTGAATGAATGCAATGCGAAATTGAACTGCCCTATATAGGATGTAGTGCAACCATGCGTCTTGACAGAAACACGAACACGTTGGGAATCCCCTTCCTGAATTAACTACGGACATTTCGCAATAGTTCATTGGGCAAGAAGGCACTACATCCATCTTTCAAACTTATTATAAATGTAGTTCCCTGTAAGGTGCCTCATTTACATATTGATTCCAAGTTGTCGGATTGGTTAATCACTTGTAACATTAAAATGTTTCATTCTATATAGTATATTAAGTATTTTTCATATGATCACATATTTTATTGTATTTTTCGCCATTTTATGATAAAATGTTTAATTGTATGTTTCTGAATTTTAAAATAAAATGTTTAACTGTATCGTATATGTCCTGCATTATATGATGAACTGTTTAGCTGTGTTGTATTGTTCCTTCATTTTATGATAAAATGGTTTATTGTATTTTTCTGCATAATATAATAACGTATTTTATTGCACTTTTCTGCATTATATGATTAACTGTTTAACTGTATTGTATTTTCCTGAATTATATCTTGAACTGTTTAGCTGTGTTGTATTGTTCCTTCATTTTAGGGTAAAATGGTTTATTGTAGTGTATTTTTCTGCATAATATAATAACGTATTTTATTGCACTTTTCTGCATTATATGATAAACTGTTTAACTGTATTGTATTTTACTGCATTATATGATATTTTTTTTTATTATTTTGTATTTTTCTATATTTCATAAATGTTTAATTGTATGATATATTTCTGCTTGCAGGCCCTGACTACTGGGGGCTTCTGAACAAGGAGTGGAATCTATGCAGTAAGGGCAAGCACCAGTCACCTGTTGACATCAATCCCAAGACACTTGTCTACGATCCCAATCTCAAACCACTACGCCTTGATAAACACAGGGTAAGAATATTACACTGCATACAATGAACATCTGTATTCCGGAAACCTCGCTATACCGGACGCTTACTGTGGGGAAAAGGGAAGTTGAAATTACCAGAAATCCAGAAATTTGTTTAACTGAATGTTTTACTGAAAAGGGTACTGTCCGTATTCACGAGACTTCACTGTGCCAGCTTAATTTTTTAATATATAATTTTAATATATCTGTATATATTCATGGGTGAGTACGTCGTCCACAATCTCACGTTATGCTATTTCCGTCTAGCCCGTATATTCCAGCGCCCTCTGTTGGCAGATTGCGTCGTTTATGACAGCAATTTGCAGAGTTACGTCCCTTAGACGTTCCAGATCTTTGGATCATGGGTTCGAAGCCCAGATTCGCTCTGATTATGTTTCTAGGATGTCAGCACGATACCTGTTCTCGTGGTTTTCACAAAGTGTTAAAAGTCTTAAATATCCATCACTTTTGGTTTTCCTCTTACATCAAGCCATAACACATATTACGCGTGCGAGTTTGAAGGTCGACTTTCGTTAAGGTTAAAAAAAAACCGTTTTTAACTGCTGCATGAATATCATACCACCAGATCGTTATGCAAATATCCAGACAATGGTGTTTGTATCTTCACATGAAATATACATGTATGCTTAAAATTTGGATTTCATGTAATGTGCCCCTTTTTTGCACAAGGGAAATATTAAATATATATGATGCTTCAATGGCTTCTTTATCAACACCGCCTCTGTCACATCCTCAACCTGTCACACACGTTGAATTAATATCCGTTCAAGTGACCTGTATGGTATGGTTGATGAAATAGTACGTGGGGTTTATTCATTTATTCGCGCTTTTCTTTGTCCTATCCGTTCAAAAGATAATTAATACTGTCTTTTTTATTGGAGGTTTTAACGTGTGTAATGTCAACACCGTAACATGGCGTATGCTTTGCATACATGTCTGATCAAGTTTCTCTGTTTGTCAAGTCACCTTGAAAACTGTAACGTGGTAACACTGATACTCTGTCATACAGTTCCTGCAGACGGTGGAAGGGCTTATTGTAGCGTAAGAAATCATTGATATCAATAATACCATGTACGGATCACTACAATTCTGCATACGTAAATCGTACAAAATTAGATAATTATTATCGTTACTTGATTAAGCTCAATGTAACTAGAACTGACGCTATAATTCCATGTGTAACGTATATAAATGACTAATGCATATACATTGTAGATTCAAGAATACCTGAAATCTGTTTACAAACTGAGACGATTAATCCAACACACCACAGTCAGGCAGAATCTTAAGTTGAAATTTGGAATTCGCTTGAATTTGTATTTTAAAGAACACACAAATATTTAGTGTCTTCTTCAGGCCAACTGAACACTAATGGGATTGTGATAAGTATCATAATAGAGTTTTTATACGATTAATTATCTTATGTGATTGAAGTTACACTCGTCGTTGAGTATATATGGTTTATATATGCATGAGATGAATGCGTGACGTCAAAACAACAAAGAACCTAACGGAAACTGAAAATGGAACTGAGGAACAGGAAAAAGGTTTTCCTTGAAAAAGTCGTCATCTGAGGCTTAAATGCTTTCCAATTCACCTTTTAAGCTTGATTAGCCGTCACGAAGGATGCCCCCTCCATCATTTTAGATTCGAGAAAAATTGGTTCCGCTATTAATCTCCGTTTGTGATCACCAACCCGCTCTCTAAGGGGTTATATCATCATAGTTATTGCTTTAGAATTTTAAAGGCCTTTGTTAATTATATCGCACAGTTAACGTTAATATTAGTTTTCTATTTACTCTCTCTTGGTTCTATAAATCAACACGAGAACGTGATAGGTTTATGACTGTAAGAAATATCATCTTGGAGTCTATTATCAAGTCGTTTAACTAGCTCCAACATTCTATATCCGGGGAGAGATTACAGTTAGAAATTATCGATTTCAACGTCAGTGAGTAAGTTGATGAGAACGATGTTGGATTGATTTTAAAACAAATTGATATTACATGACGGGAATGGGACTTCGGAATACTTTTTTTCACCCAATCGAAATTTGTCACTCCAAACAAAGCGGTTTGGGTCATTTTGTCCTTATCAATTGCTCCTGGAAAACATTAACGTTTGCGTTAGAAGATTGTTTTAGATATTTTGACTGTAGTTATTTCTTGATGAAATGGTAATGTTATTAAAGTGACGATATGCCCCATTCGTCAAAGATAGCAATTATCAGTACCTGTTGAGATGTGTATTGGTTAACGCGAGACAAATATTTTGTGGCTACACTCTTTTGGTGGTGGAAAAGAAAATGTTCAAGACTTTATGAGTTGGGATATGGTCTTGGATCAAAGACATATAAACATTATTCTAATTATTGCAATATTTATTACTTGAAATTGACAGATCTTGAGGCGTTAATGACAATATGCATCGTATTTATCTTAAGCACCGATTATAATCACAACGTGCAATGTTATATATGCGTCGCTAAATTACCCAAAAAACGCCGAAGATTAAAGACACAATTGAGAAGGTAATGATAACAGTTAAACAGTCTTTGTTATGAACATCGGTGAAAAACACAACTAAATGTCATTTCAATTGATAAAACGTGTTCAAATATCTTCATGCTGTACAGGGGGGACAGGGGGAACATGCGTCCAACGCGTCGCAATTCTTGGGTATAAGGCGTGGCAGAAACCTGGCGTTCGAAACCCAGATTTTCCCTCTTTGTCAGCGCCATAAGCGTGCTGGTGGGTTTCACCAAAGTGGAAAACGGACTGCATCGCTTCGGGCTTTCTTTCAGATCACGCTGACATGGAACATTTTGTAAAACTCAAATACTATTCAAAGCGGTATCGTTTGATTTTATCTTGTCTTGATATAGGTTTTAAGTAGATGTTCCTACCAGAATACCTAGCATATATAGTGTCCGCTGTATCGGGATTCTTTTAAGATCACGTAAACAACTCTGTACTCTGTGCTTTCCCGAACGAACCCGTATGATATTTATACTCTTTTTAGAAATCAAACAGTACGGCGTCGTTTGTTTACAATTATCAACAAACTTCTTTGAAAACGAAATGGTCTTTGAAGATTAAAGCTTTCTCTACAAACAAATGTGTCTTTAAGATGCTATGATCTTTAGCAAAGCCCCTAAGGCACACTAAATAGTGGAGGGGGAGTCGTTTTCAAGAGGAGTCCACTCACATGACTAAACGGATTGATTCTTGCTTCATCGATATCATATCATTGACTGCATTAGCAAAAACGTTTAGTTTTAGATTGCACGTGATCGATAGCTTTACAATGTTATTACGTTTGTGGCAGAACCAATTCGTCCTTCCAACAATGTAGCAACTTGAAACAAATACCTCCGTATTAATCGTGATTTTCATGAACACATTCATTACAATGACATCTGATTTGTGTGTTATTTTGACACGTAATCATATTGTCCGTGTCTATCAGATGATGTAAAGCTGAACCAACTTTATCTGTGTATACATTTACAAACATATTATCACCCACAGATCATGTAACAACGCCAATAACAAACAGGGAAATAATTTATAATTTATGAGTTGGTTGGGCCCTTTAGCCGTGCCAGGATCAGCTAACTCGATGGTACGACGCCCTTGATTGCGACCCCTGTATAGTCAGCACCCAACGTGTGTTTTATATTTTACTGCCCGCAGTCATATATCGCTCTCTCTAGCATGTCACAACGATTAAACAAAACAGCTTTATCCCAGCTGTATCACGGCTGCCTGTAAACAATCAGACAACGACGGACGCAATTGAGGCAAGACTAAACACAGTCTGTCCAATCCTCTCTCTCTCTCGCTTTCTTGGGAGCGGTGTTAACATAAGCTGAAAAACTTGTTCACCAATCCCAACTCATTTCAATGAAAAAAAATATGTTTAAACCACACACACACACACACACACACACACACACACACACACACACACACACACACACACACACACACACACACAGCTTGTAGCCTTCCCTGGAATCCCGACGAGATGAAGGACACGAGGACACCACTTGGTAATAAAACTGGAGACGATGCAACACTGTCACTTTGTATAATTAACGTACACGTGCGCTACCTACTGCAGTGGGCCAAATTTAAAAGTTCACTGAAAATTATCTGTGAACATTTCACGTTTTTGTACCAATTACTTAACTTTAAAAGAAGAGTTTGCTTCGAGGTACGTATCCGTGATGTTTAAGGTGTTCTTATGTTTAACTGAAAGAAGACGAAACAATCATTGGGTTCCAAAAGTACCAATTCTCTGACAGGAGCATTTATCAATGGAAAAACACAATGTGTACGACTCTCAAATAGGTGTTTTTGTATCAATTTACCTTTACAAAAAAAGAAATAGCTGCTAGTTCAGACAACTGATACTCGCAAGGATTTCAAACAAAATACTGGGATAAAACACTGTTTTGTTGATTTTATTTTAAAATACTTGAAAACAGACACACCACCGAAAGTTCAAGAAATTCCAGTTATCACTTAAAGAACCAGAACCCATAACACAAGTCTTATTCATATTTCTAAATCTCTGTCTGTCTGTCTGCTCTAAGGATGTGTGTTGTATTACTCCAGGTGGACGCGGCGTTGATGAACACGGGCCATGATCTCCTGCTGCGGGTCAACTCCACCTACGAGCCTTACTTCACATTTACTGGTGGCCCCCTGTCATATAAGTAAGTTTATTGTTCAATATAAAAGGAACCTGCGTTGCGTGTATTTGGTGTTCATGGTCATACTATTTCCGTCTCCGATTCACAACCCACAGTGCTGGTCTTAATATACCCCATCAATAATCAGTGAGGTTGCATGCAAACCTGCTCACAATTCAATCATAACTATTTATTATTTTTTTGAGAATTCTTACTTCCAAGAATCGCCTAGTAACACAAAATCTTCTTCGAGTAACACAAAAAACATGTTCTCTGGAGAGACCATAGGTTGTTGTTCATAGAAAACTAAAGGATGGGCACACTTCCATTCAATGTTCATCGGCCACATGCGGTAGTAATAAGAGCGATCACGATAACTTTTGGAAGAACACAATAATTGCTCAGTAGAGTGTAGATCTTAAATATTGAATGCGCCTTAATTATGATTTGAAAACAGTAATATTTTTCTAAACCCTATGAGTGGGCCAACTTCCGCCCAATTAACACCAATACGCCTTCAATCATCAAAGACGTGAGGTGAGCTGAAATGCTGTTTAATGTCGCGTTCAAGATTGTTACACTTATAAACGGACGTGCATGCATGTGTGTGTGTGGCTGCTTGCACCAGTCTGGACTGATGTCGGTTTTACAGTGCTAGACTAATGAGATACCATGCTGCATTGTAACATGGATACCCCATTCTGACACATTGTATTAACTCCGAGCTGACCAGACCCATCAACATGTTTCAATGTTTTTCATAACTATAGAGTGAATCATTTAGTCGTGTTTTCTGCAACTTGTGTTCCTGGTCCAGAAACGAGGCTTCCTTTCCAGAAGCGATGTTTTCAATGACTGGTTGTCCTGGTTGGTCCAGAAGCGATGTTTCCAATGATTGGTTTTCCTGTTGGTTCCCAACCGATGCTTTCAATGACTGGTTGTCCTGGTTGGTCCAGAAGCGATGTTTCCAATGATTGGTTTTCCTGTTGGTTCCCAAGCGATTTTTTCAATGACTGGTTGTCCTGGTTGGGCCAGAAGCAATGCTTTCAGTCGTTATTTGTTTCTGTTCCAGAAGTAATGCTTCGAACATCGTACTTATACAGTTGTAATAGTGTTGACTGTGGCGTTACACCCATCCACTCACGATTATGCGGTTGCTTATAGACCAGATCATCACCAAATGAATAATACTTTCAGGTATAGAGTTCACCAAATAAAACTTCATTTCGGGCGAGTGGACCAAATAGGATCGGAACACTCGGTCGCCGGACGTCCATTTCCTATAGAAGTAAGATCTACATAACACATTTTTTGGTTCATCGGTTTGTTTTTCTCCTTACACCGTAGGGCTGGTAGTCGAAATAAAAATACCTCAATTTAGAAAATCTTTCTTTTAATGTATCTATTAAACCATGTTTGTCGAGTGAAATAAAAACATTAACGACACGTGCCTTCTTTTATGAAACACCACTGTGATAGGTCCATTCTTGCTTGCTCTGTCCTACTTTAGAGGGTTATTAATGTTCATTACTCAATTAGTCAGCAGCATTGGCGGGACAACTGTGTAATTTCTTGTGGGATTATCCGAAAACGAAGTAATTACAGACATGTTTAACGGTTTTATGTATGTGCCAACTACAAAGTGCTCACTCGTCTTCAGTTACAGATATATGGATATAATCATGATTTGTACAACAACTTCACAGAATCTCAATCGATGCCTCACGGTATTGCAGCTATTTCTATATTTGGTATGGTGAGTACAATCATTTTGTAATTGAACTATAAAGAAATACTATCCTTTGTTCATGAATAGATGAAAGTATCTCGTTTCAGTATCTTTTAAACAAGATCGTATGTCTTGAAACAAACAAAACTGGTGATGGAATAGATGTTTGTCATAATAGAAAATGTATACGAGAATCAGTGATCACAATATGTGACCTGGTCGAATGTGTACTATCGGGCTCCGACGGATTAGAACGTTGCTCTTGTGAAACACAACTAGAATACTGCTGTATTCACTATATATATACACAACTTTTAAATGACAGCTAAACCAAGGGCAAGTCTCGGCGTACACCACATTTTACTGACATTGAACACATAATTTGAACAAAACAATTGAAAACATCTATCATTCACATGAAAAACGCCTTTATTTTCTTTCTGATCGACAGATAGGCGAGGAAAAGAATACAGAATTTGAAATTTTGGTGCAAGCATCACAGCAAACAATATTCAAAGGTAAGAGTAACTTCTGCTACTTCCATGCAATGCTCCTTCAGCAAAGATTGACATGTAATCTGTATGCCTTCCTTTAAATGTCACTGCCACTGATAGGTTCAGTACGACCCGTGAGGATGCCGGGAAAGAATATGGTCCCCAACAACATATGTTTGCCGTGACAGGTGACTTATGGATCGGGTGGTCAGGCTCGGTGATTGTGTTGATTGTATGTCTTCGAATCCCAATTGCGTGGAGTGATGCTCATGATGATATCTCACAGGATTGCCCAGATTCGTATATTTACATACCGCCGCCATACCGCCGTCATACAGCTGAGTGCGATCACTCACTGACCGTGTTAAACAACTGTTTAACTGAAATTAAATTAATCAGATGTATGGCGTTTTGGGGAAAACAATTACAGTGATAGTGTTGTGTGTGTGTGTATATATATATATATATCCTGCCCCTCCCGTGGCACCTTGGCACAAACACATGCAAAGGCATATCAAGCGTTACCTGAACAAACACGAAGCATGGAAATGTCCTCCACGTGTCTACCATAAAACGTTTGAGCAAGAGTCGAAATCGTACAATGGTCTCTGCTTTCAACAGAGATTTATTAAAGATTATGGAAAAGGTTTTGTCGCTTTTGATTGTATTAAAGTATGATGATGCTTGCATCTTTCAACTAAGTTAATCTTTTTGTTGCAGGAGATATTTTACAGATTGGTGGTTTTTCTATATTCCATTTATTACCTGACACTGATTCCTACCTCACTTACGAGGGTTCACAGACTCAACCGAGCTGCATGGAAACAGTCACGTGGGTGATACTCAACAAACCCTTGTATGTCACGAAAAATCAAGTAAGACCCTCATTTCTTACATATTTGGAGTGAACGTAAGTGAGTTGGAAAGAACTTCAGTTAAATCACGGCGTTTTAACTTGTGAGAAGAAAGCCAACCGTGTAGGGTTTAGACATCAACCACATTGATGAAAACCACAAGCACAAGTGTTGTGCCGACATACCTCGAAACAAAAATTGGGGTTTCGAACCTACGATTATTAATTTCACCCAAGGGCCACCCGTGCCCCATCTGCATATTATAACAATGAATAGTAAAGAGGTCCGCTGAATGTAATAATAAAATTAAATATGTCCTGCCTTATTTTCGAAGTGACAAGTATGTTCTTAATGAACACCTTAATGTGCACTTTCCTCTTCCGAATGAGTGAGTGAGGTAACGCCGATTTGAAAAGTATGTCTGTATATCCCGGCGCGTCAGGTTAATGTGATCGGAAAGATATCAGCACTGCTGGCCAGAGAATCAACACGTTGATAAAACCCCATGAGCATCGGTACACTGCCGACACAACAAGGATCTCAATCGTGACGAATGAGGGATTCAAACCCACAACAAGTTGTTCACTGCCAACAACGGCACAACTCGGGATGGCCAACTGCGTCTCCTTACATTATCTCGCAGGCCACCTGTTCTAGTTAGAGATGTCCCATGTTTAATTTGTATTGATATCCACGAGCTTAAACCGGCAGCCGCTGTTCACTGTTCAGTGCAAACCGAGCCCATTATGGCATTTATTTTAATCTATTTACGCTTCATAAGGCTGAAATCCGACTTGTCTAGACGAGGGATTTTAGGGTAATGATTTCCATCAACTTGTATACCCAGCCTTACCAAGCATTAGGGAAATTCAATTCTAAAATAACCAAGAAATTACACGAAGATTCCTTCTGCCAGCTGTTTAGTGGATATATCCCGTTAGGCTACCAAACTCTGGTATGTGGAATGTACATCAGTCAGTTTCTTAACTTGGCAACATATAAACGTCTCAGTGTATTACTGACGTGCAAGGGTCGAGATCACGAACAGAAATAAAATATCATGATTTGAATCCAGTGAGATAGCGCGTGGGTTGAATTGTCAGCCGCTTGGAGCAGTATTTCAGTGTGAGCTTTTTTTCGAAAGTACGCAAAGCTATCGTAGGTCGAAAATACCACTTTGTACGGCTATGAAACTGACAAGTCAAGGGATTATGGAAACCGCGATCAGATACTGACACGACTAAGGGATGCAACTCTACACATCGATTTGTGACTCTTCTGACAACTGCCCTGCTCATCCCTGCTGATTCTGTAGGGCACATTGTAATGTAACAGATAAATAAGACAAAAATCTGTTTTTCGTCAAAAGGTCACCTGCAATGTCTAACCATTATGAGTGAGTGAGTGTGGTTTTACGTAGCTTTTCGCAATATTCCAGCATTATGACGGTGGAAGATACCAGAAATGGATTAAACCCTTTGTACCCGGGAATCGAACCCGGGTATTCGGCGCGACGAGCGAATGTTTTAACCACAAGACTACCCCACCACCTTTGGACCATTATGAATGACACATTAATGGTACATATGGTTGCAAAATATTGTGGAAACGTTACACCATTATCTACAAGTAAAGACTAGCTAACACTATTTTCAAGGTAGAGGTAATGTCGTTTAGCTCGTATGTTGCATCTATAGCCATGTTCCAGCCAAATATCACTTAAATCATTTCGGAATAAAAACCTGTCAATAAAGAATGTCAAACAGTAAATATATATCAGATTATGTAAGCAGACGTTACCAGATCAATCCGGCATGATGTGACTAAGCATCAGTTGCTGTAAGTACTGAGGTTTGACCAAACTATGGATGCGTTTCCAGTATCACTGATGACCTCATGGTAATGCTATCGACGGCACGTTAAGACAAAACGTTAACCTGGGTGCAGTCCATCAATAGATCAATAAACGTAGCGAAATGCTCAAATACCTATAATCGTTAACATTATACTTCGTATCTATCCCCTGGACGGGTACGAAGCCCATGTCTGTGTCCCCCGCAGTGAAAGTGCTGGAATTGTGCCGCAAGCGGTGTAAAACCATGTTCATTCAACCAATGGTGTCTATCAAAACGACGCATTAGAGACGGGTAGGTTTCTTTTCACAACACGTTCAAAGGCCAAAACACTTAGACCTATTGTTTGATTGACCTGTTAGGCTTCATGCCAGAAGATGACTGTAGATACAGTTTTATAGTGGCACTGTAAATGTCACGTGTATTCCCAAGCCGTAAAGATGTAATTAAACCAGCAGTCAATGACTTTTCTGTTACAAAGTTGTTCCACTTTTAGAAAGATAAGATATGATAATCGATGCTGAATATAGAATTATATTGGTGAGGTCAATTTTCTCCTGATGCCAAATGGTTCTTGGTACTTATGGGACGTGGACATTGAGGACTGAGGGTTTGAGATCCGGCTATTTCGCATTTTCCCAACAAGACAACTTTCTAGTTTTACTCAGCAGTTTATCGACTGGAAGAAAATACAGTATAAAAATTATGTTTTATTTAATATCTGGGGTACTTTTTTTGTCGGATCTGTAAAACAAACTTTTGAAAGAGAAGCCTTTCTATTGCAATAGTTAACATGGGACAAGGAATCTTGGCAAAAATAGACTAATTAGTACCATGTGCCCTTGGTACATGTAGACATGTATCACAGAGAGCATTGGTTACAAGGGATCCCTAGACAAACGTTAATAGGAATTTATATTTGATACCCTCATGTGCAATTACTTTTTCCTTTTCACAGTTAAGTATATTACGCCAGCTGCATAAGGCGCAAGAAGGATTGCCCCAGGTGCTTATGGAGAACAATTTCCGTCCACCAATGCCTTTAAATAGACGCACCATCAGAACAAATATAGCACCGAAAAAACAGGTAGGTAATATTCCAGCAGTATGTGGGAGGCCTTTCTCCACCCTTGTGCCCCGGGGGCGCTGGACATAATTGGTCCCCAGCACCCCTGCCTGTCCTTCAGAGCAAACTAGGATGAGGATGCTTGTGACAACGATTTAGACTAACACTAAGTCTATGAAAACATTTTTTTTAAATAATTGTATTCTAAAATAATAAGTTTTTCTTCAAAAGATCGAATTGCAAGGAATCTTACTTTAGTTTGATCTAGACTTTGATCCTCACGCTGTAATGTCTTGCCCAGTGGGATATAACGAAGTTGGAATGAGTGTTACGTAAAACAACATTCACACGTCGTTCCATATTTGTGGCTTGTTTCACGATCAGCGCGACTCGCTATGTATAGTCCAGGACCAGAGTGTAGGAAATATACCCCGGCCTGACGTTTTTGCTTATGATGATAACACACTAACGTGTACGTATTTCTCACTTAAGTTAAGGTAAAGTTAAAATGCACTACTGACCTGTTTAAAGTGAACTATTACTGTAACATTTGGATCTTGGCCTGTTTGTTAACAGTATATGCAAATAGCAAGTACCAAAGGTATTTATCTGTGCAGCACACATTATGTTAAAGAAACTCAGATAGCTTCTTTGATAGGCATTTAGAAGTTGGAGTACTTAGTAAGGTTAAGAATTTATGGATGAACAACTTCTTTATTACAATCAAGAGCGACGTTTCGGTGTAGGTTCTAACACTTGCTTGATAACGGTGTTAGAACCTACACCGAAACGTCACTCTTAATTGTAATAAAGAAGTTGTTCATCCATAAATTCTTATCCTTACTTAAACTCAGATGGCTTGGTATTTACGCTGGTGAACATGAGGCATGAACATGAAGCACCGTTCTATTAATAAATGTTTGTCTTTATATAATTGTTAATAATCAACAAACCTTATATATTGCAGGAACAGAACTGTGGTGTGAAGAAAATAACATTTTACGAAGGTTAGGCATTTTGAAATATTTTTTGGAATTGTAATACATTACATGTTAGATGAGACACATTTATACCTATATACAATATTTTGAAGCATGTATGTATTACGACTGACCTTTACGTTTTGTTTGTTTGTTTGTTGTTTAATACCGCACTCAGCAATATTCAAGCTATATGACAGCAGTCTGTGTAAATAAACGAGTCTGGACCAGACAATTCAGTGATTAATATCATGAGCATCGATCCGCGCACTTGGGATCGATGACATGCATCAACCAAGTCAGCGAGCCTGACCACCCGATCCCGTTAGTCGCCTCTTACGACGAGCATACTTAAGTCACCTTTTATTGGTTGCTGAAGACCTATTCTACCCCGGATCTTCACGGGTCTACGTTTTTAAGCAAATGTATGTGAATTACTAATTTATTGTTTCAACTCCACCTTCGCTTTCAGTAAATGACAAGTACAAGGTGACATGATTGTCCAACTGTCTCTCAAGGCATCGCGGGGATATCACACTTCTCACTGCTTGAACAGGTGAAAACATTTATCGTACTTCTGTTGAACCCCACGGGCATTCTAGGGCTGTATAGCCTCTCCACCCAATAAGTACCCATGCTTGTACGAGCGGGTTGCTACAGTTGTGTTACAATGTATGGCCTGATTCCATGGCATCGTAAAACTACACAATTATAAGGATACACAGGTTATATGTATTTCTGCTGGAGCTTCCGTTCCACTTTCCTATAGGAACTGCCACGCGGTGCATGTCCTTGTAATCTCTACCATCACAGAAAGTTTGAAAACCGAAACAGATCAAATACGATAGCCAAACGTACATGTCATTATCTTTACCAAGTATATCAAACATTTCACCTTCATTGTGGGTCAGTGAGTTCCTAGCCATGTGTATACCGTTTAACGTTTCCCCAGATTATTAAGTTTGTTTAACGACGTCGTGAACAATTTAGATCCTATATCAGGGCGGACTGTAAGTCTTCGCCCCACAAATCAATTGAGTGCTTGAAACACGAATCGGACATATATGCCAGAAAGACACAAATAGCTAGGACTTACATTGCAACGACTCAAGTCACGACTCGACTTGAGTCGTTGTCTGAAGACCTTTCTCCTCCTGTATTCACCATTTGAGAATAATTTATAACCACGTTCTTGATAATACAGTCGGAATCGTACAATGAATTTAATAGTAATAATGGAAAGGTTTTGGTCGAAAAAACAAAGACATTTCAATGCTAAATATCAGGTAGTCCAAGTACGTTGATATATTTTGAAATTGCAATATTGTAAAAAAAATATTCTCAAGATTAGGAAAACGTTTGTAGACTTTCACAATCTGAGTATTACGTTAACGTTTATGTACAAAAATGTTAAAACAATAAAACAAAGCCATACATTGGTATTGTCATATTACTATGGTAACGTGTTTTATCCATAAATATGTGATAGCTACGTCATTAATCGCGATTATTTCACGATAAAATATTATTCTATCGTGAAGTCTTTTCTGGAAATTCGAACATGCGCTCACAACTTGATGACGTTGGAAATAAGACGACGTTATGTTTGAGAGGGATGTGTCAAGTTAGTTGTTCCCCATAGATGTATCTGGGCAACGCAGATAAACGTGACGTACATGATTAGATGTTAAATCAAGTTACAGATTCCTCATTATAAAGACATTTTTCAAGAATACAGAAACAGCATGGATCATATCAGGATTTTTAGAGTTTAGCAGATTTATCATTAACTGACGGTCTTTAAAAATAACTTGCAACATGGGGAGAAATTTATACCTTAAATTGAGTACGCTTCACATTTAAGTAAGACATGATATTCATCCTCTACTTCTCCAGATGAACAGTTTGTACAAATAGAGTTCACAATATCACCGTCTTTGGACCTACGACATACATTTACATTAAAATTGTGCAATGAAATTCAAAGTTTACAATAAGCTCTGATTAAACAAGTTAAATATCTTTCACTTTGTAACAATGATTTTACTTTGCTGTAATTGCTAAGATAAAGTGATTCAGAAATACTTTGGTGCCACCATTGACAAAATATATCCTTTAGTCTTTGCTTAAATGAATATAAAAATAACTGTAGATCTCCCACATCTTGGAAAATCCATACATATGAAAAGCCACCAACAAATTTATATTCGTTTAGTTATATGACGGTTTTCATTTGATTTGACCCTTGCGTGTTTTTAAGTGACGTGGTCAATCTTCTGGTGTATACTGATATCGCAGTAATAATTCCACACGTACCATCAGTAATATTATCATAATATTGAATCTAATCATCTTATCTGAAGAACATTTTCCTCCCTGCAGGTCTGCCTGTCACATTCACCTTTACTGTTTCTCTTGGTTGGTATTCGAGGAATTCTAAAGGGACAGCTGAAATAGGATTATATAGTGGGAACGGTGCAACGCCGCCGAGGATCGCGGCCATGGGTTTCACGTCATGGGATAGTGGCGAATGGACTAGCTGTGGACAACACGCATCTATAAAGTGTGCTGCAGGGGAAATCAACAAAATGTGCTTCTAACGCTGGTTATCGGAACTATGATTAAACAGCGTCTCATTTTATTTGAAACTAATTTGACAATTTGTGTCTAGTTCATACGACAAATGCCTCTGTTTGACATTACCATCGACTGTAACTTTCAATGGACATCGGTGACAGTACCTTCAAGAGGCATCCAATGCAAGACTTCATAAAGAAGATTGATGTGTTTGCATGTGTACTGAATTATGAATATCTGATGACGAAGCTTCTGTGGATGTTTCAGTTATTGAAAGATGGTTGAGAGATAGCCTTTGGTGTCTTCCATGAGGTACGACGAGACTGAACAAGGAATCGCAGTGTTACATCATTGGGATGAATTCAATGCTAACTATGCAAACTGGCAAATGAGCCACATGTGCTAATTCCAAGAAATGTTATTACGTTACTTCCATTAAGCCATACCTGTTGTATGTGTATTGTGTTAGACAGGTAGCACCGATAGGTTGTTTTATTGTGAATTTATGAGAAGCAAACAAATCAAACTGTATATTCATTATAGAAGACCAGATTAGTTAGCAAATGATAAACTTTCACCTGATTCCTTTGCATGACCTTGATTTCACGTACGGTTATGCCAGCCAATAATTACATATATGTATCACACATGTCTGCTTTGTTGGTCAACAACAATCACAAAAGGCGGCGTAAAATGAGGTCCAATTTCTGCCCTGTGGATGTGTCAAATTATGAAATATTGGCATGACAATTATCAAATGGCTGCCCACTTCGTTTTGTCTTTCTTTCTTGCACTTGCTTGTTTCTATTTCTGATATGATTAAATAGATAAGTATGACTATAATGGGTGAGATAATTTTAAAATATTAACTCAGGAGACATTCTAGTAAGTATGGGGAAGTATGTGACCCAAGATGATTGTGTTTACCATGTTTGAATGTACATCTCCATAGAACTTTTGGGGGCATGGGTGGCCCAGTCGTCTAAGGCGCCGCAATTCGCTGTGGGCGTCCCTTGGGCACGCCAGAAACCTATGAATTCGAATCCCGGTTCGCCCCGATTATGTTGCCAGGTTTGTCAGCACCATACCCGTGCTTGTCGGTTTCACCAAAGTGGTAAACGTCTAAGACATGCATCACTTCGGGCTTTCAAGCTCACACGCAGCGATATATAACTGGAATACTGTTCAAAGTGGCGTTAAAACCAACTCACTCACTCACCATAAGAAAATCAGCTTTGGCCAAAGAAATGCTCATGTTTAATTATTGGAAAAACGCCCCCTGAAAACTTCGAAAACCGCCCCCTTGACACATTGTAGCCGTACCTATGAGTTTGGCGTAAAAGATTAATTATCAAAACAAATCTTGCAATTGTTGAATCCTAATTCATAACAGACCTGATAACTTTCTTAATGAGTTTTCCGCATTTTTGCAACTTATGCATGGGACCTTGTCCTGTCGGAGACTAATATACCTAGAAACTGTCTTCATGCTTAACAGCGCCACAGCGTGTCTTAAAACGGATCCGTGCTGCAGTCATTCTGGTGATTATTGGAAATACGAGAAGACTTTGCAAAGGGCCAAAATCAGCTTTGCTTGTTTGAAATATAAGCTCAGCACGTTCAGCTAATTATCTTGATTCGCGGATATATTTTCAAGTATTCCAGACAAATTGTTTACGTGCTGATTTAAAACTGATAGCATGACATCTGATTAAGTTGATTAAAAAGTAAGCTAATAATAGTAACGTTCGTTTCCGGAATCACCACATGGGTCGATGTACGAAGTTCTACAATGCATGATTACGTTTGTGGCTTGTATTCACCTGGGTTTCGAGGGCCATACTTCATATTTACCTCATATAACACGCTGGTTTGACAAAAAAAACAAGATGGAAACACAGTATTGCAGGTCGGATGCCACCTTGCATCATTGATATATGCATATATTATATACATTCGATAATATATGAGATCTTATACAATGGATGAGCAAGGATTTCATGGAACAAAATGCGAAAACGGTATTTTAGGAATGGTTATTATTTTATATATTTTATCTTGTTACTGTCAACACTTTTTTTCAAATCTAGGTAAGTAATACCCTTCAATATAATTCAATGTAATACCACATGACACTTACAACATACACTGAATTCCTGTTTACTAGAACTAAACCCCTGGGCAAAAGAAACTATACATCACTTTGTTGGTGGTGGCTAAAACGTGGTTATTACATGGTGACGTATTTGATACGTCACCATGTAGTTTTGGACAATGTTCTGTGTTTCGGCGACTCTTTTCAGCCTGGTAACGTTTTGATAACAATTGTAATGACTATTTTTCAAGTGTTTACATTCCTTTGCCCGGGTGTTTATATAAAAGTTATATCGGTTAAGCGATGTGACGTTTTGGTCCCGACAGGAGTAACCCTTCAAAGCAAAAGTAGGAAAAAATAACAAGCACAAGACCCTGTATGAATACAAGACCAGGTTGATATATTTCTACCTACAGATGCTGCCGCTCTTGCTGTTAAGGTACACAAATGCCCATGGCCGTCCTGGGGGATGTTTGCATGTGACGATTGCTGAATGTTTCCAAAACATTCAGAAATCCAGGCATGATTCCGGCGACGTGCTTCACTTTAATGTGTGACATGTAACAGTCCGTGTACCTTCCCTACACAATCATTTGTACATATTTCATATGACGTTGGGTCAACCATTCTATTTCTCCTTTAGAACCTATTTGCTGGTTAAAGGTGTGTTAGGGTTGAATATGTATTGAAAACTACATTTGTGGATGCAATAATATTTCTTTGTTCAATAAACTATTTTCATTTTTTCATCGTTTGGTATTTCATTTAAAACAGAAGATACCAATGCAATGTTATGTTGATGCAGACCTTTCAGTAAGATTTGTAGGTTGAAGAATAAAGTGCCTCCGGTCTCCCAGTAAGGTTCAAAAGATATCTTTAAGAGGAATTGTCCTATCTGGGTTTAGTATAGGGTATGCACATCGTTTTGGTCCTAACGTGACTATGTTCGTGAAAATCCAGTGACAGCTATAGAACGACCCGGTGCCGTGAAATCAATTCATCCCTCGGGGTGGTGGTTCTGGTACCCCTGTCACATTTAGAGAAAGCATACATCGGAGACCCGGGTTTCATTCCCTATATGGATCGAGTGCGACGTCTCTACTCAGTGTTCCCAGTTGTGGCTGGAATAGTGATACATAACGCTGTAACGCTGTAACGCTTTACGTTAAAAAGCTGTAACGCTTTAACGGCAGGATTCGAGTATCATGAGTTCGAAGTCCACTTTTGTCTCATTATTATTGATATGTGAGCACCATACCCATGTCATGCTGATGGATTTCTAAATCATCAAAAAAATGGCACATGTCTGTGCTCTGCGTCCCTTCTTCCTTCGGTAAGCTGACACATTGTTACATAACTGAAATAATGTGGAATGGCGTTATGAAATGTGACCTTCAACACACACAAATTGACTGCTGGTGACGACAAGACCTTACGACCCTTTGTCACTCATAATATGTTCATTACTTTGTATATGGTACCGATGATATCAGCTTCAAAGACTCTCCACAGAAACCTGGGCCATGGTTATGCTGACTTCAAGGTTTCTGGGGCATGACCTGAATTGTTAGTTTTGCAGGTATGTCAGAACAACACGCACCTCAGGGTCGACTATTCAGAATGTTGACATTGACCACAGACAGAGCTGCTGACACTAACAGCATACATGACTGCTGGAACGACATTTTATCTTTGTATAAAAACAACAGATCTAGACCTCGAAACTAGTAAACGATTAAATTGAATGCTCGTGTAGACATGAAGTGACTTCAGTGAACCTTTGAGCATCGGCGGATAGTAAACCGCGGTACTCCGTACACCGATGTGCACAGAGTGCTAGCGCAGTAGCGGTAAGAATGGTTGGTGCCCCGAGGGCTGAAGATGATCAGTAACTGTCGCGATATTTAGAAACTTAACCAACTGATTACTGACACTATGCAACAAAATGCAACAATAAACCTTTGATGGGAGGCCACATACAGCTCACGAGGGATACGATGTGGCGCTTTGGCGTTGCTGAAATCTATGATCGTTGGTTCGAATGCCAGTTATCCCTGGTTATGTTTAGGGATTGTAAGCACCATACCCATGCCTATGGGTTTCACCAAAGTGGTAAACGTCTTAGACCTGCATCACTTCGGGCTTCCTCCCGACCTCAAACTGACACGCCGTGACAAAACTAAAATACCTGAAGTTCTAAGGACAACTTCTGATTATTTGGTTATCAACGTGGGACGACAAATATGTCATAAATAAACAATTGAAGCCTCACAAATCACATTCCACATTTCCAAAACTCTATGATCCCAGTCAAATGCATGTAACCAGATATTCAGAAATAGTTTGAAATGGATAGTTTACACGAATTAACCTTTATATGAATGTTTGGATTTTAAACGAGCATAAATGTTTATAAAAAACATCGAAGAACTGTGAACCAAAGAGCCCTAGTATTGCACGTTTCTTGCAATTGCTTCGCATTTTTTCTATCAAATGTCAGATATCCAATACCATATCATTATCAAAGCAATCTTCGAAAGTGCAGTCTTTAGAAAACACCACTTTTGATCGTGTTGATGAGAATATGACATGGGAAAACAGAGGAATGCTTGTATCCTGTAACCTGACAACATAACGTCGCACATCAACTCAACGTCGTCTACAGGAAGATCATGTGTCACACATGGAGATGTTATCAACGGAACACCACTTCAGAAACCGCCCTCGTAGTAGGCACCCACCCCATGAAACCACTCGACAAGACATATGAATTCGAACCATGCATCTTCGACACAGGTTCTTGTCTTCAGACAACTTTCGATTATAAGGTCCACACCATCCCTGGCAACTGAATCGTATCTGCGAGGCCAGTCCGAGGACGACAACGCATCTGCAGTATCTATGCGAGGATAGTCCGAGGATGACAACGCATCTGCAGTATCTATGCGAGGCCAGTCCGAGGACGACAACGCATCTGCAGTATCTATGCGAGGATAGTCCGAGGATGACAACGCATCTGCAGTATCTATGCGAGGCCAGTCCGATGACGTCAACGCATCTGCAGTATCTATGCGAGGCCAGTCCGAGGACGTCAGCACATCTGCAGTATCAATGCGAGGCGGCCAATCCTGGTCGCAGAGCATCAACGTCTTCAGTAATGCAGAGAACACTGTCGCTGGACCACATGTTGCTGAGGTTGTGCAGCAGTATCTGACCCAGAACAATGTTAATGCGTTGCCCTGGCCTGCAAGATCCCCAGATCTGTCATCAATCGAACATGTCTGGAAAAGAACGGTTGCGACATCTTATCCTTCTACAGATATGGAGTACCAATTCCAAGTCCTTCAACGGTTTCTGGCCTATATGAGGCTCAAGGTGGAAACATACTAATTTGCACATGGTCGGAGCGCTATTTATATAGGCTGTTGCTTGTTAAAGTACCTTCAGACATTATTCTTTCTATGTTTGTAATTCTATACACTATAGTAAAATCTTTTGACCGATTCTCTTTGTTTTTTTGTATATCACAATAACTTTTGCCTTTGAGAATATGTTAACGGTTACATTTCCAAGGTGACCGTGTGTTATTTCCCAAATGTGACAGAGTTGGGAGTGATTTAATTTCGGTGATTTAACAGTAAGAAAATATCACTTTCCAGCAATGTGATTGGCTCAATTATGAGTCACGTTACAACGGCACTACACAAACAATACTGCAGCATCGAAACCGTTGAATCGGGACGATTTATCTGACTGTGCATGTTTTCTTTTTTACAGAAAGGTTCATGTTTGGAATATTCACATTCACTTTAATTAGAGACGATCATGTCAGACAATAACTGAACAAGCATGATCCGTCGATTCTGCCACCATGGCAGAGATTCACACTGCTACAACCGATTTACTGTTTTCGTGACCCTGTTTGTGAGTGTGTGAGTAAGTGAGTAGGGTCTAACGCCGCTTTTAACAGTATTCCAGTTATATCAC